ATGCATGATTTTAAACTATGACGTCTTAGTGTATTACCCACAGTAACCTTGGAAACAGTGGTGCCAGCTCTCTTCAGGTCATTGACCAGCTCCTCCCGTGTAGTTCTGGGCTGATTCCTCACCTTTCTTAGGATCATTGATACGCCACGAGGTGAGATCTTGCATGGAGCCCCAGTCCGAGGGAGAATGACAGTCATGTTTAGCTTCTTCCATTTTCTAATAATTGCTCCAACAGTTGATCTTTTTTCACCAAGCTGCTTGGCAATTGCCCTGTAGCCCTTTCCAGCCTTGTGGAGGTCTACAATTTTGTCTCTAGTGTATTTGGACAGCTCTTTGGTCTTAGCCATGTTAGTAGTTAGAGTCTTACTGATTGTATGGGGTGGACAGGTGTCTTTATAAAGCTAACAACCTCAAACAGGCGCTTCTTCATGCTACTTCATGCTGACGTGTCCCTTGGCAAGACACTAAACCCCTCATAGCCTCTGATGTGTGTTCCATCAGTGTATGAATGTGATCTAAAGCTCTGATTAGTCTCATTAGAATGATTTGTTCATTTAGCTTTGTAGATCTAGTAGAGTGCTGTATGAATGGGTAAATGAGGACACAGATTGTAGTGTAAAGAGCTTTGAGTATCTTGAAATGAGATAGAAAGGCACCATATAAGTACAGTCCATTTACCATTCTAATTTAGAATAATAAGTGGAGTGGAGGTGGACTTTTTAGAGGCAGACTAACAGGTCTTTGAGGGCCAGAATTGTTGCTGATTGGCAGGTGTTCAAATACTTATTTGCAGCAGTAACACACAAATAAATTATTTTTAAAAAAAATCATACATTGTGATTTACTTTTTTTTTTTTTAGATTATGTCTCTCACGTTGGACATGCACGTAAGATGAAAATTCCAGACCCCTCCATAATTGCTATTGCTTGCAAAGTCACAGGGTGTTCAAATACGTATTTTCCTCACTATATATATATATATATATATATATATCGAAATAATTATTCATATTCATTCTGCTGCACCATTATATTCTACCATGTTGTTGCTCAATATCTCTCTTTAGGACATTGTAAATATTTAAATTAATTACTTTTTCACTTTTTGGTACTTTTTTTGTGTACCCTTATTGCATGCTTTTTTGTATTTTCTTGTGGGTTTGTTCTTTGATTTTTTTTTTTTTTTTTTAGCGAGTCAAATCTATTCTTATCCTATTTCATTGTACTGTTAACCCTGTGTTAACCTGTCATATGATAAACACAACTTGAAGTTAATATTGTCACACTTCCTATGTCCCTCCATGAATTTGAGCTGTTTTTTTAAGTCCATTGACTTCAGTTTTTAATTCCACCACTGTTCCACGCAGATTCTCTATTTCATTTGAGCATAAAGACAGCCCATTCTCAGTCTCTGAAACCCTTAATGTGGCTCGGTCAAATTCTGCTCTCAGGCCTGCAGTGGAATTAGCCAGTTTCGCTCGGACCGCCTGCAATTTGCTCTCAATAAAATTAAAATCACCAGTCAGAGCCGCTCCTATCTCCATCCTAATTATCGCTGTGACTTCAGATTTAATTGAGGCCTGAATTTCTGACCTCAGAGCCGAGTCGTCCGTCGCTCCAGAGCCTGGCGAAGGTGGGGCTGATGCACCTGCTCCAATGATGTTGGAAAATGCTTTTCCAATCCAGCGGCCCAAGGCCGCAGCGGTAACAACAGGCTACATGGGGGAAGCCACTGCTGTGCTGTTTTCGATTATTATTTTTTTGTTAAAAGGCCATATCACAGGTCTGTCGAGTCAGTTATGCGGCGACACCAGTCTGACAAAAAAAATCCAGCGTGAAGGTAGCAAGGATATAATTATAAAAGACTATTTTTCAGCAGGGCTGACGGGAGCTCAGCAAGACGCTGTTCACCGATCCGCCACCATGTTCCTTGTCCACAAGCTTGTGCATCTTGTTAGCGGACTTAAAGTTGGCAAAGTCTAATTTAGCAGAACCTAATTCCGTTAACATTATCCAAAGTTAGCAAAAACTCTAATCCACTTAATGAAAACTTTGTTCTACAATTAGCTGAACTGTGCCCGCCACTGATATCAGCATGCAGAAAATATGTAGTACTTAAAATATAATGGTCTATATCAAGTCAATTTAATTTATAGAGCACATTTAAAACAGAGCCTGTTATCAAAGTGCTTAACAACAACAACATTCAATAGGAGTAAAATTAATGAAAAAAAATACAATATACTAATAATAATACTGAAGAATTAATAAAAAGCATTTAAAACATAGGATCACAGAACAAAAAACACTAAATCAATTTACACTGTGTGAAATGCCTGTGATAACAGATGTGTTTTAAGCAGGGATTTGAAGTGAGGAATGGAGGTGGCCTGCCTGATGTTGGGGGGCAGGTTGTTCCAGAGTTTGGGGCCCATGACTGAAAAAGCCCGATCTCCTCTGAGCTTCAGTCTTGTTTTTGGAACAGCCAAAAGCAGCTGATCGGATGATCTCAGGGCCCGAGAGGGAACGTAAGGTTCCAGTAGCTCAGAGAGGTAAAGGGATGTGAGGCCATTTAAGCATTTGAAGGTCAATAGAAGAATTTTCAAGACTATCCTAGTACGAACAGGGAGCCAGTGAAGGGAGGACAGAACTAGAGTAATATGTTCAGACCTACGAGTTCCGGTTAAAAGCCGAGCAGCAGCATTCTGGACGAGCTGAAGACGTGAGATGGAGGCCTGGCTGACCCGAGCATAGAGTGCATTGCAATAGTCCAATCGGGTCGTGACAAAGGCATGGACTAGTTTCTCAAGGTCGGGTCTGGACAATACTGGGGGCTGTGGCTGAGTGGTTAGAGCAGTTGTCCTGCAATGCGAGAGTTGGGGGTTCAAATCCACAAGCAGTCACATGTCGAAGTGTCCCCGGGCAAGACACTGAACCCCTCATAGCCTCTGATGTGTGTCCCATCGGTGTACGAATGTGATCTAAAAGCACTGATTAGTCTCTTTAGAATGATTTGTTCAATTAGCTTTGTAGAGATCTAGTAGAGTGCTGTATGAATGGGTAAATGAGGACACAGATTGTAGTGTAAAGAGCTTTGAGTATCTTGAAATAAGATAGAAAGGCGCTATATAAGTACAGTCCATTTACCATTTACTGACTTGAGCTTAGCTACCTGTCTTAATTGGAAGAAGCTTTTCTGCAGAACCGAGTCTATCATTTATTGCAGTCCAAGCAGGTCTTCCAGATACTGATTTTAAACTCACTGATAATGTGATGACAATTAATTTTACAACCCTACTAATAGATGCAGTCATATGAAAGTTTTGGTGGTAAGGTTGGTTCTGCACTGGTGAAAAACTGCTAGCTCAGAACCACGAAGAGTAGCTCCCGTTAGCAGCGCTCCAGTAGCCAGGACTCACTCCAGTAGTCAGGACTCACTCCAGTAGCCAGGACTCGCTCCAGGAACCAGGACTCCAGGCCGACGGGGTGATGGTTTGAAGAAAGCGTAGACTAGGGATGGGCAGATGAAGCCTCAAGAAGCTCTGAGGCTTTTCTTACAATTGTGCCAAAAAAGATTTACAGTTTCAAAGCTTCAGTGAAGGAGATATCTTCTGGACAACTGGAGCCACAACAATGTCATGAGTGTGACTGAAAACCTGAATGTTTCAATCCCGTGTCAGCAAATAAAAGTTTAGAAAGAATGGTCAAGCTATGTTTTGTTTATTTGTACAAACTAATTATTACATTTACATTACTCGTTAAAAATATGTAGTTTTTAGACAGAAGAACAAGGTTCTTTGTTAAAAATGTAAAAGATTTGTTTTTGAGAAAACACACACACGTGCATGCGTATCATTTGCCCATCATCAAAGACTAAACTCCTGGTTTATCAATGAAACGTTCACGCTTCACACACATTTTCCTGAGGGAGCAGAGAGAAGAACAGTGATGCAGCTTCCTCTGTAATCAAACTACACTCGTATTTCTAATGAGGTTCTGTTAAGATATTTTTAATTTAGACTGGTCCTATGGTTTTGATCTGCTCAGAGATGGGATTATAATGAAATTATGACCCGGTTCTGACTGGGTTAAACTGGGCCAGCAACTCTAAAAAGAGTCTCCCTGGGATTTTCAATATCAGTCAAGAAATAGTTTAATTGGCTTGCCACATCACGTAGAAAGGCTTTTGAAGTACTATCTCATATTTTCCTAACACGTCAGTCCACATAAAATCACACTTAATCACGCCCCCTAAAACACGGATAGGTTGAGCTCCCCTTCTGCGAAGGCGGAGTCTAGGACCCTATAAAGGAGTAATAACACGAGACATCGGGGCTCTTCTGGGTCTGTGAACGTGTCACAGTCCGGAGAGTCCAGCGCTGTAAAATGTAATCTTTTCCTGCCTTTTCTAATATAATTGATAAAACTTAATTGACATTTCCTTGATTTATTGATTAGTATAGTTGCCACTTCTGAGGGAGGTTCGAGCCGGGGGGAAAGACGTGGGCCGGAGGGGTTTTCCGGATCCGGTGGTCCACAGCCAGCTCACATCTTTAACAGTTCAGAAAATAACACCTGTCCTTCTAGTCCAGCAATTCTACACTGGTCTGTCTTCAGAACTCACTTTCGCTTCATAAGGACAGTCCATGACCCAAATCAAGAAAAAAAAACTTTCAACTCCTCTAATATTGGATTCAAATTGTGCAGTTTAAACTCAACATAGAATAGATTATCTCAGTACAGGAATACACAAGAAAAACAAGTTTAATGGTAATCTAAAATGACCACCTGCAATTTGATAAAATTACTAGTTTTAAAGAAAAAATTACAAACTTGCAGTTGGCCTTACTGTTCTTCCAAAGGTTGATCTTCATGTTGAAGTTTGTACTAATGTCTACATTAACAACATTTTTCTAACTATTTGAGACTCCTTTATTAGGTATGGTTTTTGGATGGAGTGTGCACGTTTCTTCGGTTCGATCCAGTGTGTGTGTACTCACAGTGAACTGGTTTGCAGCAGTAGGTATGTAGATGGTGTACTGTTTCTCAGACGCTGCCTCTACATTAACCGGACTGGCCTCAGCGTTTCTCCTCAGCTCCTCCAGAGCCAGTCGGACCGCCAGGTACTTCGACAGGTGATCCACTGTAGCGTTGCCAGATGTCTTTATGTAGCGAGGGACAAACTCCACACTTTCATCCAGTGAAGAACAGTCATGTAAATGAATGCACATAACCAGACATGAATGCACTTTAAAAAAAAATTTTTTTAAAGGTCACATTAAATATTCAATAATTAGAAGTATTTGCAGAAAACACATTTCTGTGTACCTACTTGTTATGCCCATCATCTTTTTCCATCAAAGTGGGATGAGGCCTAAACACTAACTCTATTTCGCTGGTGCCCCCATCTATTACAGAGTCTCCGCCCCCGTTCTCTGCAGTATTATCCATGTCCAAACCACTGTCATCGCTCGTCTTGGTGCGCTTGATACTTGGGCCTGCCTCCTAGAGAAAGATTTCTCATTTTAAGATCCTGAATGTGTTTGTGGTCCTTGAGTGTAACTATGGCTCACTGGAAACATAGCAATCATTTGATTCTTGGTTATGTTACGTATGTTAGCTTCCTGCAAAATGGCACACACCTGGTTACTGTGGACAGAAGCGTTGCTACAGTGCGAGGAGTCTCCATTGTCCTCAGCTCCGCTACCATTCTCAACCGTGTGTCTCTTGCCACGCTGCAGTCTGACAATAATAAACCTCCATCAATTTTCAGTTAGCAAACTACTTTAGTCATGCATTTGTCATATTTGTAGCGCGTTTACCTGGTCATAGCCTGTATCTTGAGCCCCTCTTCTATGCTGTGGGACAAGGCCTGCTGATTGTTGTGTTTGCTAATGCGGGCCAAAACTCTCTCTTGGTGGGCTTCGTACTCATCACGGCTGGGATAAATCTTACCTAAAATTGTGGAAATTAGTTTTAAGTCCGAGGCTCAAAAGTGCCATTTTTGTGCCATTTCCTAGCTGACCGGACAATAAAACTGAATGATTTTTCTACTGGTCTTGACCTTAATAAAAACACTTTTTTTTTTTTTAAATATAAACTAGTTATGTAATGTTGTCTTGTAATATTTCATTGCAGTTCTGATTCTATCTGATCAAAATTGATGTAAAAAAAAAGTAACTTGAAAATGTCTCTTCAGTGTTGCGATATTATGCTGCACCATGGTAGTCTTAAACATTGGTGTGTGTGTGTGTGTGTGTGTGTGTGTGTGTGTGTGTGTGTGTGTGCTACCAACTGCCCATCTCAGCCATCATGTCTGGGTCATGTGGCGGTCTACAGTTAAGAAATGGACCAAGTGAGGATTAGGGCAGGGTGTCAGCCTCCAAACACTACTTCAATAATGGATTCATTATGTTTCTTTTACTATAAACAAGCACTGCTGATAGTATTTTAGATAATTTTAAGGTCTACATAACCATCTTGTCTTAATTGTACAAATGTACAAGAGCAAAGTTTTATGGCTGCAACACACAATTTAAACAATATGGCACATTACATGCCTGCCCACAAACCACTACACAGAGTCTATAGCAATGGCCAGGACAAGCAAAGACCTTGTGTACCCTTTGAGGGGTGATGACAATATTACGCAACAAGTGATGGCACAAATGTGTATACAGTTTTGTGAAATTAGATCGGAAGGTTTGGACAAGCAAAGTTTTAACTATGACCTTGAACATGGAGGTATGTTGATGAAAGGTGTATGCAAAACTCCATCTAGGTGATGATGCATATGTGTATGAAGTTTCATTAAATTATCTTAAGTGGATCAAAATTATGAGCGGGACAAGATAAAGTTTACGGATGGACACAGACTATTCTGTACCATAATACATCCACCTTTCAACAAGCGTAAAAAACAAAACAAAAAAAAACCCCACGAAAATACATAAAATCAAAGAAATTGATCTGAAGGGTGCCATGACAGGAGACAGATGGCTGGGTGTTATCCCCACTAAAGAAGTCAAACCCAAGTCCAACAGAAAATTAATTTTAGTAAGAAGCCAAAACATGTTTCTCTGTTCCACATGAAAATAACTAAAATAGTTCATATTTAGAATGACCTGCATGTTTGAAAATAGCATAAATAGTAAAAGCTAGGAAACATTTTTAAGGAGTATAAAAAACAACTCTTGTGATGGCAGTATTTTTGGCTCAGAGACTATTTTCAAAAATAACAAACTCCTCAGTTCTTTGTGGTTACTTACTAATCAGAGCATCAAAGTTTGGGTCTGGACGCAGCGACCTCTTAGAAACAAGTTTTTTACGACAGGTAGGACACTCTTTATTACTGCAAGAAAAAGAAAGAGCATCAGGCAAATGTATAAGTGTTGCATCTGCACTAAAGTATCAAACCAGAATTAAAAGCATCTGGTTGTTAAGAAGTCTTAAAATGAGGCAAAAACAGCCTGAGATGAACAAAAACACATCTAACTAGGGATGCACTGGTGCAAATTTCAGTATCAAGCATCAGTCAAATACAGTTTATCCGTACTTGTACTTATAAACGCATTCCAATACCACAATCACAGAACCCTTTTAGGGCTGCTTGAAGCTGACCTCTCAGTTGAACAGCCATGTGATAAAGGAGGAGCAACATCAGCCATGGGGTGAAAGGTTTTTTTAGTTGTCTATCCTGATCTCAAGCCTAGAGAAGCACTGGAATGGCCAATGACAGCGCCAGGTGAGATTTCTTGCGAGTATGTGGGAGCCATCTTGTGAAGAGCGACGTCTATCACTGCACTCTTTACACATAGAAGCCACACATGCAGGGTTCCCAGCATTTTATGAAAACTAAATTCCCTGGCCTAACAAAGTTAAGTCAGGTATTCTGGATGGAGTAAAAAAATAATAATTAAAAACTTGTTGAAACATTTTGTCTATTAACCAAAAGACTTATCAGTCTGGAAGAGAAGTTGGAGGTATGCACTTGAAAGAAGAGGAATGAAAGTCAGCCTTAGTAAGACAGAGTCCATGTGTGAATGAGAGAGAAGCTGGTGGAACAGTGAGGCTACAAGGAGCAGAGGTCACAAAGGTGCAGGACTTCAAGTACTTGAGGCCCACTGTCCAGGAAAATGGGAAGTGTGGTAAAGAGGTGAAGAAGAGAGTCCAGGCAGGATGGAGTGGATGGAGAAAAGTTTCAGGAGTGATTTGTGACAACAACAAAAAAGTGTCAGCAAAGGTCAAAGGAAAAGTTTACAAGACAGTGGTGAGAGCAGCTATGTTGTATGGTCTGGAGACATGGACAAAAAGACAGGAGAAAAAACTGGAAGTGGAAGAAATGAAGATGTTGAGGTTCTCCTTAGGAGAGACAAGGATGGAGAAGATTAGAAATGAGATCATCAGAGGGACAGCACAGGTTGAACAACTGGGAGATAAAGTTAGAGAGGCCAGACTGAGATGGTTTGGACATGTCCAGAGAAGGGACAGTGGGTATATTGGTAGAAGGATATTAGAAATGCAGCTGCCAGAAAAAAGACAAAGAGGAGATGTATGGATGCAGTTAGAGAGGACATGGAGGTAGTTGGAGTGAGGACAGAGGATGCAGAGGACAGAGTGAGATGGAGGAGGATGACTCGCTGTGGAGACCACTGAAGAGGGAAAAGCCGAAAGAAGAAGAAGATCCAAAAGACCATCAGTCTGAGGAGCTGCAACAAACTAACAAAATAACACATTCCCATAGTGGATCAATCAGTTTGTTGTTGACAACCAGAACTAGCTGTTCACATGAGGACCATCAGCCTAACAATGGATCATTAGTGCCCTGATGGCTGCTTGCTATTCACAGAGGGCTAAGTGATACTAGAAATCAAGATCGGAGCAGGGCCCAGCTAAAGGCTAGAAGGCCACCGATTCCTACTCTCTTTCTGGCCAATGTCCGCTCAGTGGATAACAAAGTGGACTTGTTACATCTGAGGATGAGTGTTTCTACAGAGATGAAGAACTGTGCTGTTCTTTGCCTAATGTAAACCTTGCTTAACATTAACATGTCGGACTCAGCTTTCCAGATCAACGGTCTTCAGTTATTCTGAGTGGATCGTAACCATTGGTCGGGAAAAACACGGGGGGGGGGGGGGGGGGGGATCTCTGTGTGTTCATGAAAGAAGGAGCTGGACTTGGGAACTGGGAGGGCTCTGTCCTGGGGAGCTATCGTTGTGTGGTGGAGAGCGTCTGCATCACCTTGTGGCATGGCAGAGGGAGGGTGCGACTGGGGAGCAGCCCCCCAAGCAGGCGGCTGATTCAGAGCAGCTGTCAGTGCTAAACTCGAGCTGCACTTAATTCAGCTTCATCTCACTTTTTTTTAACCTTATTTTACGCGTGCATGCATGTACACACGTGCGTGTGTTTGTGTACACATGTGTATATATTTAAACTATTCTGTATTTGTTTATTTGTTAGGCTTCTTGATCTGGGACGCGAGTCTGAATTTCATACCGTTAACATGCAAATGTGAGCTGGTATGACAATACAAATCCTTGAATCCTTGAATAAATTCCCTGATCCTGAGTAAATCCTGAAATTCCAGGAGATATTTCAGTCAGATGAAACGCAAGCATGTGGTGAGCAGTCACATCCAGAGATGACAGGAAATATACTGGAGCCTACAGTACGTGCATACAGCAATCATCCCTAATAATTAATTATACTGTATAACATCAGAAACTAAAGTCACCTCAGCCAGTCAGTAAAGATCCATGTACTGTGTTCAATGTAGAGGCAGAACATGGACTCAACGATACTAGAATACTTCAATGTACAAGTTAAAATCTTTGAAAGATTATCTTTTAATCAGCAGATCAGGGTTCAAATTCCCTGAGTTTTCTCTGTCTGAAAAATGTGAGTTATTTTCCAGGTTTTCCTTGATTTCCAGAGGTGCTGGGAACCCTGCATTGGTAATACTTCTTGCATGCTGTATGTTATGTTATCTGTACAAAAACATACACGAATAGCCTAATTGTACCTACACATTTATCTTTCATGATATGAAAATGAAAGAAAAGCACATTTTGTAATGATCTTCCCTATGAGTCCAGTCAGCAAAACTTAGGGCAAAACACTGACTGAGCACCCAGAACAAGTGATGTCATCAGGCTAACCAGGCTCCCTCTAAAATCTTGTAACACCAAAGAAAAGCAATGATTTTAAGTATGAATGCAACAATTGAACTTTAACCTCCTTGGATGTTTTGTGCTTTTATTACTGGTAAAAATTATTCTGAGTCAATATAAATGGGCTTTTTTGACCATCAATCAATCAATCAATAAACCAAAGTATTGTCAAAATAAATTCAAATTTCTACAGAATATTACAATTAAAAACTGAAATACATAAAGTCACACATACTATCAAAGCATGAAACATACAAGGGGGGGTGGGATGATTTTTTTATGGGCACAGTGTGTAATCCTGGTGTTTTCTTTCTGCAAACAAAAACCTCACCCAGATCTCAAAGCTGTGATGATACAATCAGCACAGAAGCGGTGCAGACATTCTTTGGTTGTCATTGTGTTCTTCAACATGTCCAAGCAGATGGGACACATAAGTTCGCTGTGCAAGGACCTGGGGGACACTGCTATCTCTAAGCCATCTGTTATAGCCTCCTATGACAGACAGAAAAAAACAACATGTTATGAAGCTACAGAGATTCAAAGCAACCAACTGGGTTCAAAAAGCTCTTTCCTTATCAACCAATGCTTTCAGAATATTTTGTTTACATTTGATCAAATCTGTTACGTTTTGTGTAATTTTGACAGCATGCATACAAAACAAAAAGTTCCATATTTCCTCATGGCTTTGACTGTGGAAGACAAACAAGACAGTGTCAGTGACAAACTCTGTCTTTTTATCTTCCTACTTCCTATTCTGTATTAATAGGCCTGTCACAATAAACAATATATCAATTAGTCGCATGATAAATGAAAATTATCTACCTCATTTTCATTTATCGGCTTTATCGTTTCTTCGTGTCTCTTTCTTTCTACTGAAGACACGGCTCAACTCTGGTGCTCTTCACTGACCCCTCCCTTTCTCATTTCTCTTTTAAATCTGTGTTAACCGTCCAAAATCGTGTTTTTGTATAATTTAAAGCAGCTAAGCTGAGAAGCTAAGCTACGAGCTAAGCTAACAGGTCGACCTCGGGGAAAAATCTCTGTCTTGTCAAAGCTCCAAAATTCACGGTTGAAACCCGTGCCTTCGTTTAAAAAATTGTTTTTCGCTGCAAAAAGAAGCTGAGAACTTGTTTACTGATATTTTTATTAAAAGCTTTGTGTGAAAAATGCTATGCTAAAGAGCTCAAACCACATCGAGCGGCCACCATTTTGAGAACCAAAAAACAGGAACGAGATACAGCCCATGTCACGTCAAGGGGCCTCCCTCCCATTTTTCTTAAAGAGACACGCTGCTCGCTCCCTCACTATCCATCCTTCGGTTCAAACAGTCTTTTACTGCCATCCAGTGGTCAAAAAAGTTACTACACACAAAATTAACCAAGATTTCTTCTTAAATTTGACAATTACTAATTACTGTCAAATTTCAAACAATACTATTGTTTATTGCAAAAGTTTCTGAGACAATTAATCACCCAGAAAATTTTGTTATTGTGACAGGCCTACATATTAATACATAATAAAACTGCACCAATCTGTAATAAAGGTGTCATTTTGTAATATTGATGTGACGATCGTTTACCTTCCCCAGTGCATGCAACATGCTAAGCTTGGGTCCTCATGACTTATACACTGACACATGTAGCAGTACACAAACTGAACAGTTTGTACACCAATTTATGATATGAAGCCTATCAGCTGGTGCTACCAATGGCCCGCCTTGGCCATCATGTCTGGGTCATGTGACGGTCTACAGTTAACAAATGGACCAGTGAGGATTAGAGCAGGGTGTCAACCTCCAAATGTTACTTCAGTAATGGTTTGACAACCAAGGGACTGACCTCCATCAAGGCACAAACTCTTTAAAATGAGCAAAAAATTGTTATGATCCAAGGTAGAAACTAATGTTTTATCATCTGAACCAAAAATTCTGTTGAGCACAAGAAGCATGAGGAGACATGAGCATCAGCCTTTTAACGGCCAGCTGCAGTTTGTACAATATAAATAAATAATTTTAGACATTTGAAAATAAATCTTAATCTGTTTTCAAATGTCTAAAATGATTTATACTCAGTCATGTCCACAATGTGATGCATCCAAAAAAAGATCTGACCTCCCACCCCTGCTGTTTACAGCCACCAAGTCCAGACACTTAAGGTATGAAACATCACGGTTTTTAGTTTTTATCCTGATGCATGCTCAATAATCCAGGTAGAAAAATCCAAAAAAGCTAAATCTGGTCCTCTGGACATTAAAAAAAAAAAAAAAAAAAAAGAAAATTTGTAGAAACGTTTTGTCTTTCATCTGAAAAACTTCAGTCTGAGGTGCTGTATTCACCTCAGTCTTGTAAATAGCACCTTCTCAGAGTGGATCAACCAGTTTGCTGCTGACTGCGAAAACCAGCTGCTCACATAATCAAGAAAGACCATCAGCCATAGGCGTCGCAACCATTATATGTGAAGTCCCCCCCACATTGAAAAAGAAAGTAATCAGTCAGAGGAAACTGGCTCCTTTGTTCAATTCTGAGTTACGTACTTTAAAGCAGGCATCTAGAAACCAGGAGAGAAAATGGCGCTCTACTAATGTTGAAGAATTTTATTTAACTTGGAAAGATAGTCTGCTAACATATAAAAAAGCTCTCCGTAAAGCTAGAACTTTATAATACTCATCTTTAATAGAGGAGAATAAAAATAACCCTAGGTTTCTGTTTAGTACTACTGCTAGACTAATTAAAAGTCCAATTTCTGTTGAACCATGTATCCCTACAACTATAAGTAGTGATGACTTCATGAGATTCTTTATAAATAAAATTATTTCAATAAGAGAGAAAATTCAAACCATCCTTCCTTCTACTATCTCTAGTCCCCTGTCAAATGAGGCAACTTTAAAAATTTCACTAGAGCCTGATTTAAGTTTGGACAGTTTTCGTCCTGTTGAGCTCTCTGAATTGTCAAAAATAATAACCTCATCCAAACCATCCACATGTCTGCTAGATCCCAACCAGACTGTTAAAAGAGGTATTCCCTCTAATTAATGTCCACATTTTGGATCTACTTAATTTGTCTTTAATGGATGGTTATGTACCACAGCGCTTTAAGGTTGCTGTAATTAAACCTTTACTTAAAAAGTCTGATCTTTATTCAGAAATTCTGGCCAACTATAGATCTATATCTAATCTAAATTTCATCTCAAAAATTCTAGCGAAAATAGTTGCAGGTCAGTTGTGTGAACATCTACAAAGAAATAATCTGTTTGAAGAGTTTCAGTCAGGGTTTAGAGCTCATCATAGCACAGAAACAGCACTAGTAAAAGTCACTAATGATATTCTCATGGCTTCAGACAATGGACTTGTGTCTCTACTGGTCCTGTTAGACCTCAGTGCTGCATTTGATACAGTTGATCACAATATTTTACTACAGAGGCTTGAATATGATATTGGGATTACAGGAATGGCTCTAAAGTGGTTTGAATCATATCTATCTGATAGATTCCAGTTTGTAAATGTAAATAATAAATCTTCTTCATACACCAAAGTTAGTCATGGAGTTCCTCAGGGCTCAGTGCTTGGGCCAATACTCTTTACTTTATATATGCTTCCATTAGGTAAAGTTATTAAACAGCATGGGATAAATTTCCATTGTTATGCTGATGACACACAATTATATTTGTCCATTAAACCCAATGAATCATATCAGCTACTTAGACTACAAGCATGTCTTAAAGACATAAAAACCTGGATGACTCTTAATTTTCTCCTGTTGAACACAGACAAAACTGAGGTTTTGGTTTTTGGACCTGAGCACCTTAGGAATGAATTTTTCAGTCTTTCCTTAGATGGCATTAATCTGTCCTCCAACTCTATTGTTAAAAATCTTGGTGTTATTTTTGATCAGGACATGTCTTTTATCCCCCACATTAAAAACATTACTAGAACCACCTTCTTCCACCTGCGTAATATCACTAAAATTAGAAACATCTCATCTAAAAATGATGCAGAAAAACTGGTCCATGCATTTGTCACATCTAGACTGGACTATTGCAATGGTTTATTATCTGGATGTCTAAATACTTCTTTAAAACGTCTTCAGTTGATTCAAAATGCTGCTGCCAGAGTCTTAACCGGAGTTAGTAGGCGAGATCATATTTCTCCAGTTTTAGTTTTTCTCCATTGGCTCCCTGTCAAATCCAGAATAGAATTCAAAATCTTACTTCTAATCTACAAAGCTCTCAACAACCTGGCTCCATATTATATTACAGAACTTATTGTTCCATATTTTCCTAACAGAGCATTTCGCTCTCAGACTGCAGGTTTACTTGTGGTTCCTAGAATTTACAAAAACAGAATGGGAGGCAGATCTTTCAGTTATCAGGCTCCTCTCTTGTGGAACCAACTTCCAATCTCTGTCCGTGAGGCTGACACATTGTCCAGTTTTAAAACTAGGCTTAAGACTTTCCTTTTTGCTAAATCCTGTAGTTAGGGTCGGCTTGGGTTTCCTGAGCTGTCCCTTAGTTATGCTGCTATAGGCTTAGACTGCTGGAGGACAAACTGACCACAATTTTCACTATGCTACTGTCTTTACTTACTCTGCTCAACCTGTTTTGTATTTGTAATTATTTTTTCTATCCTTAACATGTGTTTTTTTGTCTTTCAGATACACCTGGACTTATACCTGGACCTACCATTCTGTGTTCGTCTGTCTCTCCTCCCTGTCCTCTCAACCAGCCGGTCAAAGCAGATGGCCGCTTGTCCTGAGCCTGGTTCTGCTGGAGGTTTCTTCCTTTTAAAAGGGAGTTTTTCCTTTCCACTGTTGCCACTGTGATTGCTCAGGATGGGAGACTGCAACGAAGCCAAGATTCAACTTGTTTGCTGGATTCCTTAGATAGAGAACTACTAATTGTCTTTTATGTATGTGAATGTTTCTGTAAAGTGCCCTGAGACAACTTTGTTGTGATTTGGCGCTATATAAATAAACTGAATTGAATTCCAAAAACGTTCATTTGGACCCCCCCCCCCCACACACACACTTTTACTATAAAACATTAGTTCAGGAGGCGCAGTTTCTCTTTCTTCGTGAACAAATCCATTCCACTTGATTAATAGGAGAATACTCAGGCCACTAAAACTCCACTCCAGGTTTTCCTGGTTACTTCCAACTCTAAACACAGCAGCCTGTTGCCACAGTCACAATATACGGTGGTCACAGAATATGGTGTAACACCTGCAGTGTTTCTGTGCGTCTCCTCCTGCTTCGGCAGAAAACGCGCACAGGTGGAGAAGGTCGAGAAACCTCTGTGTTACTTGCTCGCCAGTTTAGCGAGCTTTGTGCGGGCAGTTGTTGACCGGGGGTTGATCATAAACATATATTCATGTTAGGAGGAGAGAAGTGGAGCTCTACATCTGTAGCATGTTAGCTTAGCAGTAACTGTGACGCTGTAAGACGCTGCAGGTGTAAAAGACACTGTGTTAAGTTGCATTAAAGTTAAAATATCTTTAA